TCCTGAAGCCTAAGTAGGGATGAGTCAACACCTAACACGTGTTGCCGGGTAGCCTATTCCCGTAACAAGGGCGAAGCCTATGTATTCAAAATCATAGCACAAAGTCTAAGAGCGTTAACTCTCTTAGCATAACGTTACATGCGGAACGGATTCAGACAATCCGCGTGCTAGCCCGATTCAAACGGTAATCGGTAAAGGCACATCAAACCCGTTGAAGGCTGGGGGTTTGCCAAAAATCCCAAAGTCTATGTCTAACACACATTGCCGGTTTAGTCTTTCGCCGATTGAAAAAGACACCATGATCTAAGCCTGGGGAATTTTATCCCGAAGCCTAAGAAGGGTAAGTCATCGCCTAATACGCGGTGCGGGGTACTTTTTCCCTATAAGAAATGGTGAAGTCTATGTATTCAAAGTCATAACATTAAGTCTAAGAAAAGCAATTCTCTTAGCACAACGTTACATGTGGAACGGATCTAGACAATCCGCATGCTAGCCCGATTCAAACGGTAATCGGTAAAGGCATATCAAACCCGTTGAAGGTTGAGGGTTTGCCAAAAACCTTAAAGTCTACGTCTGATACACGTCGCTGTTTAGCCTTTTCACAGGAGAAAGACGAAGTCTACGTATTCAATATTGTAGCACTAAAAGAGTTAACTCTTTTAGCATAACGTTACATGTGGAACGGACTTAAACAATCCGCATGCTAGCCCGACTCAAACGGTAGTCGGTAAAGGCGCATCAAACCCGTTGATGGCTGGGGATTTGCCAAAAATCCTATAAATACGAGAGTCACTGACGCATCAGCTTCATTAGTTGGTCTCGTGAATTGAGCATCCAATAACATTCGAAACCCTAGGGTCAACGCCGGTCAACGCGTAACCCTATGCAATAAGAGTAACGGACTCCTTGGCGTGCCTCAAGGCCTCCTTCAATCTAGCCACTTCCTCACGGTCTGCCTGATGGAAGCTGAAGAGAAGACCTCCCGGCTACAACCAGTATTAGCATGAGGAGGAAGGCTGCCCGCGGGGAACTCGACTGCAAGGATAGAGTCAGAAAGCTCATAAAAAGCGAGATAAGATCAGTCACGAGATAATTGATGAGACGATTTTGAGTGTCCTACACTGGAAGAACGGTATGCATCATCACGTAAATAACATGGTAACATACACCGACCTATAAGGTGTAGGACGATACAAAATCGCCCCAATATACCAGAAGACTTGAATTAGCCAAGCAAGCCAAGTCCGAAACCTCGACCCCCGCGAAGGAGGGTGTCGGCCCTTCCCGAATGACCCGCGAAGGGGCCAAACGAGGGTATGACAAAACCACCAAGTCCGAAACCTCGACCCCCGCGAAGGAGGGTGTCGGCCCTTCCCGAATGACCCGCGAAGGGGCCAAACGAGGGTATAACAGAACCACCAAGTCCGAAACCTTGACCCCCACGAAGGAGGGTGTCGGTTCTTCCTTCATGACCCGCGAAGGGATCAATCGGGGATACAAAAATAAGAAAAAATTCCCACCCCCAAAAAAAGAAGCTGCTGGAGGGGAGGATGTTGCGGGAACTTCTTCCTCGCTAGGCTGCGAATGGGATCGGCTCCTAGGAAGTCGAGATCGGCGTGGAGGCATCGGAAACCTGCAATGAAAAGCAGCAAGTCAGATACAATCTAAAGTATGAATACGCGAAATTTAAAAGGGAAATTAAGAACTTTAATTAAAATCCTGTGTATAAATAGGATTTTATAGTTGAAGTCTAATTAAACCTACAAATTTCGTGCATGCGGAGCAATGATTGTCATTTTCGCAGTAAATTTTGGTGAAATACCCAAAATACCCTTCGTGTTCAAGGCTAAATTTGGGTCAAGGACACGCTCGAGTTGGGTCATGGTCATCATACCTGATCACATAGCACCCCCAGCACCCCACAATTTTGGTTAATCTTACACATAACACCCTTTTCTAAAATTTAGCCAATTTTGCAGAAGACCCTCCACAAATTTTGGTTTGGTTTTCACAAAACTTTGATCGTAGTTTTGTGGTCTAAACTTCTCTCTTTTGCACATAACCCCTTCAAAATTCTAGTCCTTTTGCAAATAAACCCCCTATATACTTTGTGGGTTGCTCTTTTGCAAATAAACCCCTCAAACCACATTGAACCAAATTTACACATACACCCCCCAAAATTTCAGCCATATATTTGCACAAAAGCCCTCCAAAATTTCAGCCGAAAATTTGCACATAACCCCCTCAAATTGTAGCCCTCTTTTACATATAACCCCTCTCAAGTTTCGGCCTCATTTTTGCACATATACCCCCAAAATTTCAGCCCCTAATTCGGCCAAAAAAACCCCTCAAATCTCACCAAATTTTGCACATATACCCCCCAAAATTTCAGCCCCTAATTCGGCCAAAAAAAAACCCTCAAATCTCCTCAAAATTTGCACACAAACCCCCAAAATTTCAGCCCTAATTTCGGCCAAATACCCTCTCAAATCCCCCAAATTTTGCACACAATCCATCTCCCAAATTTCGGCCAACAAACAAACCCAATGCAAATTTCGGATTTCCCCCAAATTTGAAGAACTAGGGCTTTCAATCTTTGAATCAAAACATGAGGAACTAACTAAAACCAAAGCAAGGGAATTGAAGCCATAAAAGAAAAGAGACTTACCCAAGTTCTAAAGCTTGAAGAAGAAGAAAATCCCAAACCCTAGCTTGTAGGGGGATGAAGATTTCGGCCAAGATGATGGAACCCTTGGAGAAGATGAGAACTTGGAGAAGAAGGGGTTGAGGCCTTGAAGAAGATGGTCTTGAAAGCTTTAGAACTCTTGAAGAAGAAGGAGTTTGAAAGAGGAGTGGGCGGATTTCTAGAAGATGGTCTTGAAAGCTTTAGAACTCTTGAAGAAGAAGGAGTTTGAAAGAGGAGTGGGCGGATTTCTTTGTTGGAACCGAAAAAAAAAAAGAGGGGGGGCGGAACTCCTGCTGGAACCGAAGCAAAGAAAAGAAAAAAAAACGGAAGAGGAGGGATCGGTTTTTTGTAAGTGGGTTTTTGTGTTTTGGTTGGACCGAACCCACATCGGCATGAACCGAACCGGATTAAATCATTTTTTGATGGTTCACGCACGTGTGAGGTGCGAAATGTTGGCTCGAACGTGTAGAAAGACTTGGGGATAATTTATATACACTTTGATCCCCTTTTTAGATATTTTTACGACGTATTCAACACTCGTATTTATACTCCAATGAGAATACGAGTCTAAACTATTTCCCACAATTGACGGGAAGTTCCTGGAAAATATTATGTATAATATTCTTAAGGATAACCCGTCAACCTCCGACGGGTACACGAGGCTAAACTAATTCCCGAAACTCTCAGGAGTACACGAGTATAAACTGGTTCTCCTCAGGTTGATTCGAAACCCTAGGGTCAACGCCGGTCAACGCGTAACCCTAGGTCAACGCCTTTCAACGCGTTACGACATTCGAAACCCTAGGGTCAACGCCGGTCAACGCGTAACCCTAGGTCAACGCCCTTCAACGCGTTGCGACATTCGAAACCCTAGGGTCAACGCCGGTCAACGTGTAACCCTAGGTCAACGCCAGTCAACGCGTTACGACCAAAAAGTCAACCTTCGACGTTCGAAACCCTAGGGTCAACGCCGGTCAACGCGTAACCCTAGGTCAACACCAGTCAACGCGTTGCGACAAAAAGTCAACATACAGTGATCTGAAATCCTAGGTCAACACAATGTGACGAAGGTAGTTCAAAGTCAACTCAATGACACGAGCCAAACTCAATTCATCAGCTGCAAACTCGAGACTCCGACGACGGCCAAGCGATAAACGCAGCGCCGGAAGAACTTCGGTTATTCGTCAAAGCATCGAATAGACCAAAAATCAAAGGAGCCAAGAGTTGAAGCTAACTAAGCTGGGATTTTGATTTTGTGTAATTAGCGTTATTAAAATGAATAAATTGGTCTCTAGTACAATCTTTGTTCATTGATGTAGGCATCGAAAATTGCCTATAGGTCTCCACGAATAGCTCAGTGTTAAGGAACGACAATGAACGTCACCATCTGGTTCACAGGAGTTCAATTGACGTCGGTGAACGTTTGAAGTGAATCGACGAACTACGTGAACGGACAGAATTTCGGAATAACGAAGGCACAGGCTAATCGAGAGCCCCGCGATGTTTACAAAAAAAGAACAACGCCTTTCGTATCTCGTTCGTTCTACAGATAATCCAACCATCGGGGCTAATAGAACTCTTCGTCAGAATTCCAACATAATTCGAATCACTAAAATCCGAGTTCGGACGAAGAATTTACAGCGGAGTGTCTCGGATTTTTGGAGACACCCCAGGGGTGTCCTAGATTTTTGGGGACGCCCCAGGGGTGTCCTAGATTTTTGGGGACGCCCCAGGGGTGTCCTAGATTTTTGGGGACACCCCAGGGGTGTCCTAGATTTTTAGGGACGCCCTAGGGGTGTCCTAGATTTTTGGGGACACCCCAGGGGTGTTTCCTATAAATAGAAGCCTTATGCCTCACTTTTTCAGGATCTGGATTTTTGGAGAATTGGCGAAGCCCTGCTGGAGTGAAGAGTGATCGAGCACTTCAACACAAGAGAGTTCTTCATCAGATCTACCTCACCCGCATCCGTTCCTTAGCATTACCCCTCGTTGGTAATCCTAAGAAGAGCAAATATCTCGCTTTATCCGAGATAGGCGCTCCAAGTTTCTAGATCTCCTCGCGGATCGACGAAGCTCTGCCCGATTTTTCTGGATCAGATCTGATTGCCAGGTAGTCCACGGATATCGACGTCCCCGTCACAGGCTAAAGACCCACGCAAGCAAGAGACGATAAACGGATCTTGTGTTTATTTTCAAGAAAGTTGTAATTTTTATTTTCGTTATTTGAATTCATTTGTAACGTTTGAAGTTTTAATGAAATCAATGATGAATGCAACTTTTGACGAAAACACACTAATATTCTCTTCTTCCGTAGCTGAGGCATACAGTCACACAGATTCAGAGTTTCTGAAATCTGAGACGACTCAGAACAAAGATGCTGGGTCAACAGCCTCAACTGCAATCCTTGTTGGTGATAAATTGTTAGTAGCAAATGTTGGGGACTCGAGGGTCGTTATGTGTAAGGGAGGAAAGGGTAAGTCCTCCTATCGTTGTTCATTTTGTGTATTGGTATCTATTTATCTTTCAAGTGTTGAAATGATTTAAGGATTCATATATGCTTTAAATGATTGAGAAGTGTACATTTCCTCTAGAACTCAGACTCTTACTCGATCTATTGTTGAAAAATTCAGCTGTAGCTGTTTCGCGAGACCATAAGCCTGACCAAACTGATGAGCGTCAAAGGATTGAGGATGCAGGAGGATTTGTACTCTGGGCAGGTAAGTTACGCTACATTCTGGTTGCATTTATACGATGTATTCAGGTTAGATGATCCCTTGAGCAAATTCTGAGTACAGGAACTTGGCGGATTGGTGGTGTTCTTGCTGTCTCTCGAGCATTTGGTGACAGACTCCTGAAGCAGTATGTTGTTGCAGACCCAGAAATTACGGTATGTTTCTCACTGATGATCTTGATAAGTAAATAAATAATGTTTCCACATTGCTTTGGATTAGGTATATATAGCACAATAGAGTTCAGTAATGGACTGGAGAACCTTTTGGATAACAAATTCGAATGCATATGGTTCTTTTATGTTGATGCTCTACTTATCATGATAGAACATCCATAATGGTTCACATGTATGTTGGACTTCCCAAAGGTGCAGGTTATTGCAAGCAGACTCGTAGTGAGAAGGCTAATTTACGCTATAGGCCAGTCTATTACTTAGAAGGGCTTTATCATAAATAAGTTACTTACTATCAGGAACAGTATTGTGCAAGTTGTAGAGCAATTTCTGAAGTTCTGTCTTGAGTTCACTACAAGTTTAAGCTGAGCAGTAACTATGATTTCGTTGACGTGCCTTGTTTTCAACTTTCTGTTTATCAACTGTGCATGTTAGATCCATGGGATCGGTATGGATCTCATAAAAATGGTTCACTCCTTGCTGATCCGTGAGGCATTAAATAAATACACACATACCTTAATGAAGGCACATTGTAATATGTATTAATGTAACAGGGTGACCAATATACAGATAATGTGGTTATACGCAGGAAGAGGTTGTTGACGGTTCTCTTGAATTTCTTATCCTTGCAAGTGATGGGCTATGGGATGTCGTAACGAATGAGGTACTCAAAATATTCCAAAATATTGTAACCTCACTTTGATCCGTATTGAAAATTTTCTCATGCATATGACTAAATTTCCCAATTTCAGGAGGCCGTTGCAATGGTGAAGCACATTGAAAACCCAGAAGAGGCAGCAAAGAAACTGATGCAGGAAGCTTCTCAAAGAGGCAGTGTCGATAATGTGCAATGCGTTATCTGATGGTGCATTTAATTACTAAAGGGTATATTGTCAGCCCCTATTAGCTTTGTATGGTAAAAATTTATAAACAATTTATGTATCTCTCTAGTATTTTGGTGAATGTATTATTTGAATATAATTGGATTTGATATTGGAATATAATTAGATTGTGTTGGATATGAATATAATTTTTTGTTGTTCAATATTGTAGATTGTGTTGGATATGAATATAATTTTTTGTTGTTCAATATTGTGTACATGCACCCAAAGCAGATTCAAAAAAAAAACACTGTAGCATAGTATCCTAAACGGAAATTCCGTCTAGGATGCTCAATTTCCGTCTAGGATGCCTATTTTAAAAAAAATAAAAAAAATAAAAAAACATGAATTTCCGTCTAGAATGAGTATTCTAGACGGAAATTTCCGTCTAGAATACTCATTCTAGACGGAAATTTTTTCCGTCTAGGATGAATTATTCTAGACGGAAATTCCGTCTAGAATAATCCGTCTAGGATGTATTCTAGACGGTTTTGAATTCCGTCTAGAATATTCCGTCTAGAATATTCCGTCTAGTATGTATTCTAGAAGGAATTTTCGTCTAGAATACTACATCCTAGATGGAAACTTCCTAGACTCATATTCTAGACGGAATTCCGTCTAGGATACTTATCCTAGACGGAATTCTGTGTATCCTAGACGTAATTTTCCGTCTAGGATGCCTCATTTTTTAGCAGTGTCAATAATAGGATACCTTTTGGATTTTCCTTTACTTACCAACTTTTGGCATAATCATGAGAGTGTAGTAATATTTTGAAAATCAGGATCACACCGCATATCATGCTCATAATGTTGCAATTGATGTCTCAGCTGAAAATTAATCACCATTTCACTGAATCTTGGGGATAATATTTCTTCGCAAGCATGCAAAGGTCATCAACTTTAAATGATTTGAAAGAATCTTTTGGATCCAAAGCAAAGCTAAGACTTAGAAGTTCTACTGCTCTATCAGAGAATCTTTCACTTAACTCCATCACTTGTGTGTTAACAACTTCATATAATATATCAAAGCGATAATGATGCTCAATTGTAATTTCATCACTCTGCTGACAAGAACGACATGTGCCCTTCACATAACGGGAACTCATATGGGGTATATCAATTTCATGTTTCATACAAAAGGATACTACAAAATGTAGAAAATTTTGCCATTTGTGATCACTTTTCAACTCACAGATAAGAGTTTTTGTGATAGAGATAGAATTCATACCAATTAAAATATCTTGATCTTTTCTTTGCAGCAATTGACAAAGTACTTCTGTTACTCCCATTATTTCAATCATTAAGTGTAAGTTAAAAACAAAGTCAAATGAACCCATTGTAGTAAACCCACAACTAGCTTCTGCACGGAATTTTCTATTCAACCCATCTGCCTTTATAATACCAAGAACTTTCCATACGGGTTAATACAAACCAAGCAAACTACAAGCAGAAGAATAGTGTGAGCCCCAACAGGTAGAAGCAGGTCGTCTCAAAGTAGTCTGTTGATTACCTCCAGTACTTGTTTGTAATTCACCTCTTTCCATCAAATTTTTAACTTCTTCCCTTTGTGCAGCTCTTAGTTGTTGATTCCGCTTAAGAGAAATAGAACAAAATTCACAATGCAATTCAACATCTGAAAGAATAACTCAATGCCAGATAATTCGCCTGATGCTGCAACTAATGCAAGTTGTAAGCGGTGGGCAAAACAATGAACATAGTATGTATATGGACATTTTTGCAAAAATAAACTTTGTAACTCACTCCATGCACCTCACATATTGCTAGCCACATCATAACCATGTCCTCTTATATTCTGTACAAGCAATCCATTACGATCAAGTATAAGTGAACACATCTTTTTGAGAGTGTGCGGTAGTGTCTTCAACCCTATTACATCAAAAACCTCTCTCTAATAAAACCATATGCATCAACAAATCTTAACATGATAGCCATTTGCTCACAATTGGGTTCATCTCGAGATTCATCAACTAAAATACAAAAATTAAAGTCACCAATGTCTTCACAAATCTTTTTCCTCACCAAGTCACCCATAATTTCCATAATCTGATTTTGAACCATCGCTGAAGTATAACTAGCATTTCCGGGAGCATTTTCTAAGATAACCTCTGCAACTTGCACATTAATGTGAATGAGACGTGTGTGTGGTGAGACCAACCCACGTGTGTGAAGAAATGAAGAAACCAGACTTCTTGCGGATGTTGAGATCGACGTGCAGGCCCACCCGAAAAGCAAGCAGCTATATATATAGCATGCGATTTCTCCCTAGGATGGTGTGCAAGGTTTTGTTATTTTGGCTGGGGATTTTTTTCGGCGTGCAGTACAGAGCGCGAGGAGTTTTTTCGGAGAAAAATTTTCGGCTGTCCGCACTGTGCATGCGGAATTGTTTGGCGACTGCAGGAAGAAAAATAGTAGCTGCAGTGAAGGAGATTTTGTGTAGTCTCTTTTAGGGTTTTGTGCATCCCTTTGAGAGGTATTTGTGAGGGATTTGAGGGGTTTTGTGCATCCCTTTGAGAGGTATTTGTGAGGGATTTGAGAGTTTGTTTGAGGGTTTAGATTGAGTGATTGTAAACCCTAGTTGTATTCTCTCCCTCTATTAGTGGATCTCCCCCCTCCTTGCCCCGTGGACGTAGGTAATTTGCCGAACCACGTAAAATTAGTTGTACTGCTATTTGTGTGATTTGTAATAGCTTTTAGGTTTCCTCGACGCGCAGTCCTAGAGCTGACGAGAGGAATAGCTAATATCTCACTTTGATGAGATATTAGGCTTTAGATTCTTGTTCTCTTTGAGAAACAAGAATTCTTATTGCGACCTGACTCTCTTGTTATGCTGCCAAAGTGCTGCCGAAATTTTCGCTGCGCGCAACAAGTGGTATCAGAGACCAGATTTCAGATCTAGGGTGTTTTGGAGTTTGGTGGAGGGAGATTTTTTGTGTGAAGCTTGGTTCTTGGAGTTCTAGGCTTCGGTGGAGATAATATTAGGAGTTGTCGTTGGAGATTTCGCTTTCCTCGTGTGGATAGGAGATCTATTTGGAATCCGATCTAGGGTTCAGTTGGGTGGTTCCTAATTCTGTCAAATTTATTCTTTCTCTAAAATTTAGAGTTAGTTTGCAATGGGAGAAGAAGGTGAAAGCAGCAAATCGATGGCGGGTACAATACAAGTTGGTTTTCAGAATACTAAAATTAGTGTGGTGAAGTATAACGGTAAAATCAATTTTGGTTTATGGATGAGCGACGTACAGGATGCGCTCAATGCTCAGAATTTGGAAGAGACCATTATGGTCCACGAAAGACCACCTAAATATGAAGAGGCGATATGAGAGAAGATGAATAGGAATGCTTGTGGGGTGATCAGGTCCTGTTTGGAATAGGAGCTGAAATATGATGTAATTGGGGTGACGTCTGCAATGAAGATGTGGGAAATTCTCAACAATAAGTATCTCACAAAGAGTGTTGAGAACAGGTTGCACTTGCTGCGAAGACTCTTCAGATTTCAGATGTCCAGAGGCACCTTGCTAGCGGCTCATGTGAACAACTATACGAAGTTGTTGTCGGACTTAGCGAATGTTGATGAGAAGATATCGGATGAGTACAATGCGATTATTTTGTTGGGCTCCTTACCGGATGAGGAGTATGATACATTCGTGCTCACTTTGTTGAACGGGAGATCTTCTATCAGCTATAGTGTCACGCCCCGCTTCCCAAAATACCAGGGAATCGAGACGCGAACAAGCTCGCGACGTATTAAACTGAGAAGAGATAAGTGCTAGACCCCGTCTTCTCAATCTAATACGCTAAGCGTCAAGAAATACAAACGAAGGCACAGGTCCCCGATAACACATAGCAAGAATATAAAGACAACCCAGAATAAAAATAGACATATCATAAATGAATATCATCCAAGACATAATATATGGGTCAAACGTACCCTTATACATATCTGAACAACTGATGAACCTGTTCTTCTCCTAAGTCTGACGTACACCAGAGAAAATAGGTGTACGTCAGGTGCATGACGCACGGCAAGACCCGACCCCACAAGGAAAATAGAACGACCGAAAACACAAGCGGAAAACGATACGAAAACCGAAATAACAAAAGAACGTGCAACTGGTAATCTAACAAAATCAACATGCAATCCACATGATAATCATAAGAATCCGTAAATCATTCAGGTAACAAAAACATGCAGCTAGCGATCAGAACAATCATCCATGCAACAAGGTTATACAATAGATGGAATTAATACTTAAAAATCTACAACTCGAGACGTAGTACGTCGAGCGAAATAATCCAAACAAGGAAACCCTCATGTATATACCATATGTCTTAAATTATAGATAATTAAATATTAATCCCGATCTATGTATGGAAGGGAGTACAACTGGTCTACATCTCACAAAAACCCATAAATCCTAGCCAAAGTGATGACACCGATTCACCTTGTCTCAACAAACCAATCTCAGTGGCGACACCGATCCACTGGTAACAAGTCATATAACTAGCCATCTTATAACAGGTCACTGGTTCACATCTCACACAGAGTCAACGCTCATATCATCGGATAACTGACTGTTCGCATATCCCCCACGTGCATCCAATCAAATAAATTCATGAACCAAAGTAGCGACACCGATCTACTTTGATCCAACCAATCAGCCCCCAGTGGCAACACCGATCCACCGTGACTCAACATACCAACCCCAGTGCGAAACGGTTCACTGGTTCTAGTCTGGAAGATACATCAACGGTCTTATCCGATCACATGAACATTAACTTCCCCATCCCAACTCTTTTCGCTTTTCTAAGTCAACACAATACATGTCTCTAGGTCACGTAAGGCTACTACGGTCATGACCACTGACAGTTCTTAATCACAACCAGAAATAACGAATACGAATGATCATGTACGATAATATCAAGGCATATCACATAATTAAGAATCAGAAATCATAAAATTGTTCTAAAATAATCTTACGAAATAATAAATTTATTTACTTAAAATAATTCCTTTTACAAAATTTCCCTTAAAATTATTTAACATTATAATTATTCAAAACTAACCCATTTTCCAAAATAAATTCTTCTAACT